TATGCAAATATTGCGAAGGACTTCCAATGCTGTATTTGAGAAATGCCAGTGTATAGTAAATTGAAGAAGTGTGTTCAAGTAACAGTATTATTAAGATGAAAAGATTCTGTTAGCTCTACAATGATAGCATTACCATAGCTAACTAGGGGAAAATCTAGTAATACAATAATGGCTCAGTGAGATAAAAGGGTAAAGGCAAATCTGATCATTTAAATTATCTCTCCATACAAGCACACCTTCCTGTGTATTAAATAGCAAGCTTAACTAATTTTTCCTCTCTTTACTATTCCAGTTAAGCTGTTTTTGTTAGGAAATTTAATTTTATTTTGACAAGTAATTTATGAATAGTCATAAATAATTAAGCAGTTTTTGAATGGCATACATATATATATATATATATATATATATATATATATATATAAAATAACTGCAATACTGGATCAGATCTATGGTCTATCAAGTCTATTGTTGTTCCCCCAACAGTAGCCTTTATTAGATGCTTCAGAGTAAAATATAAGAACTTTACAGAGGTACTTTGCTCCTGCAAAAATCTTTTTCCTGGGTTCTAAGAGAGATTAGCAAAAGCACTGAAGCACAAATTTTAATATTTCTTCCAAAATAGTATTAAATGGATACCATTTATTATCCTGGGTGGGGAGCCTGTTCCCCACCCTATTACAAAGTAACTACATTTACCTTTTTTTATTTTCTCATTTTACACCCCCCCTCCGCCCCCCACCTCTCCCAAAGACATGCATGAAGTATTCATTTTTTTCTGGTTTGGAATTTTTTTTTGTAATGAATGTATGTACCTATGTTTATGTTAGAGAAAGCAAGGTCAAATAAATGTGACTTGTACACAGAATAGAAGGTGGTAAAGTTTGTCCCCAAGAAAACTCTGTGTCTGCCTCAAGTTTTAAAGTTGTTCTAAGAGTGTGCGCCAGAAAATCATAGCTGAAGGTTGATTTTTAGTCATCCCACAATTTTCAGATGCTGTAGGTGCAGGTTATTGAATGCTTTAAAAATAAGGACCAAGACCTTGAGCTTTTCAGAAAGTCAGTGTAGGGACATAGGCCAGCTTCGATGTGTTCCCAGTAATCAGTTTTGCTGAGGAAATGTGCCTCAGTGTTCTGAGCCAGTTAGACTTTTCTCAGTGCCAAACGTATAGTGATTTGTGCTGTTTACTGCAAAAGGTAATAAAACCTCCACTACAACTTCTTAATTGCAGTCCTGCCTTGGGCAATGTATTATGTTATAGTTGATGTTTAATTTTAGTATATGATTTTTTTTCTGATTCCAAGATGGCAAACCCCACTCTCAAAAGGAATACTTCCAGAGGCAAGGAGAGGGAATTTCAGTGGCAAAAGTCAGGGGTTAAGGGTGGGACTTCCAGTGATCAGGGGGCAGGGCATCTGGCAAGGGGTGGGGCTACCCTTGAGGTCCTTGACAGTTCACTAAAAGTTGTTAAATGGCCCTTCAGCTGAAATAATTGCCCACCCCTGCTGTAGAACATATTTCTGTTTTATAACAGCGGGACATTTTCATGTCTTGAAATGCAGAAGTTTTTGTTCCTTTAAGAAGACAACACTTTGAGGATGGGAACTAATAAGTTGTTACTAAATTGAAAGCATCACTTATGCATATCTGTGCTTTTCACTCTAACCCATGTAGCAATGAAGCAGAGAGGGGTGACAGGAGCACCAGCCCCAGGCATTGACCCTAAAGTGGGTGCATGCCATGCTGACAGCACTACAACCAATGGAGCTGCACAGTATGTAGTTGCTGCCCAGGGCACTCAGATGTCCACTTCTGTTCTGCTCCAACCGAAGCCACAACAAAGTCATTTTTAACTCTTGTGGACTAAATTGACAAGATATTCATCAAAAAGTCTCTCTAATTCAAATACTATTGTGCTGTTTCATTATCACCACGGGAAGAGAAAATGACATCTCTTCAGCATCAGTAAACAATACAGGTAAATAAGTCAGCATCTAAAAGATGTACATTTAATAAATACAGCCCCCTGTCATGAAAAGTAACACTACTAGAATTTGCTTCAATGTAATTTGTATGGTTCACCATTGTGCATTTTTAATTAGTCTTAATTATTATAATGCCCCATAGGCCAGAGTTTCTCAAACTGTGGTCCATGAACCACCACTGGTCTGCGAGCTCCATTCAGGTGGCCTGCAGAAAGGTTGCAAAACAATTGAGAATATCTGTACTTGAAAAGCAAGACTACTGATATTAAAACATGAGTTGCGTGCTTTGATTTGTTGAACAAAAAAAAGTTTATTAAATGGTCTGCTGAGACCCTTAGCAATTTTCAAGTGGTCCGTGAAAAAAATAGTTTGAGAACCACTGCCATAGGCAATTTCCAGACAAAAGGATTGTGAGATGCTCAGGCATCGTGTGCATACAATAGAAAATGCATTTGTTTTCTCCACTCACTGTCATTAGACAGTGCTGGCTGGAGGTGTGTTCACCAACTTATGTTTATTTCTGGTGTGTGAAGGATGAACCAAATAGGTGGAAATGAAAGGAAATGCAGCAAGGCCTCATGCATCAATGCTCCAGAATTACAGAATATGTCCATGGCCAGTACCAGTACTAACATAGATCTGTATTAATTTCTGGATCATTTACTATTGTTTATAATTTTTCTTCATTGCTGCAAGCTGTCATCCCATCTCTTTATTTATTTTTGTTGTCCTAATTTCCAGAAGAGAGATTATTAGAGATGTGCAGTAGTGAAAGCACATATTTCTTGCATTGATTTTCAAAAAAATTGTGTGTGTGTGAATGGAACCTGGAGTACGTGATTCTTTTCTCTTTTTAACTTCCATGCTTTTGCTGTACAAGTCAAAACGCTGCTAACTCATTACGGCATAGCTGCTCCTCAACTGGAAGTTGTCACCATCTCTTTGTGTTACAGCCACCCAGAGCATGCAGCCATGTCATTATGCCTCTGGTTTATGTTACAAAATGTAAGTTGTGTACTTCTTATGTGTAATCACCCACAGTTCCCAGTTTGTAAAGGTTCTGGAATTGACATGTAATAATAGTGCGTCTGTACATCCTCAACTTAGATTTTGAAATTAGATTTTCTCTTTTTGCAAATGTCTATGCTTCCTCTATTTCATATAAACAAGCTGTAATTAGGAGGTGAATAATCTGTGTTCCAGATGTTACTTGTTGTTGTGCTCATTGGAGAGGCAGCATCTGTAATTTGCTGGGTTTTTTGGCATTGGGAAGCCAACACCTAATTCTTGTGTTGCATTCTGCTGGGCTCCTTATTATTTTCTCTGCTTTATGTGCTTTCATATACCATAAAACTATATGACTAAATAATAATCTTTTTGCTATTTGAATTCACAGACCTCATAGGAAAATGAATAAAGGCCATACGATCCCATATACAGCTTACTTCCACATAAGGAAAAGAAATCTCTACTGTGCCTGTTACATGTTGTATTATGGAGGGATATTTTTTCCCCAGTGGCTAGCTATCAGAGTAACAGATCCTTTTGAGACCTGCAGTGGCATTGTGCTTTTCTACTGTTCATGTTTCTGACTCGTCTCTCAAGGGCCTTTTGTTGCTGAGGTAAATTAGGCTGACTTGGTTCAGTAATTTACCTACAAAGGTTTGAATATAAAATTTAACTTGTGCATAGGCCTTCTTTATTGCGTAGACATCAACAAATAAGGCTATTTGTGAGTGAACAAAGGATTAATCTTTGCTATTGATTTCCTATCTAAATATTCATTTATTAAGCAAAAAAAATGCCACATGAAAAAAGAAACAGATAGATAGACTAACCAAAAGTTATTCTCCCAAACAATTCATCAAACAGGTATATCCAGTGATGCCTTTGCAAAACCCTGGTTTAAATCACATATAACTTCTGAGAACTTAACCCTAGGTTTACAAAGGCCTTCAGTTTAATTATTAGTTATATGATTTTTGATGTTTATTTTTGAAGGTCCACTTCATGAGCTCATGTTATTTCTTTTTCATAAAAGTCAGTGACTCATGTTTGAAAATATGAAATGAATGTACCAGGTTCAAAATAAGAAAGCAAAACAAAAATCCCAATATACATATCTCGCTTTTTTTCTAATATCAGGTTTTTTAAATTACTCTAATGATTTATGGGTGGATGCCTGTTTTATGGTTTTTGTTTCATTTTGTTTTTGAACCTTGATCTTGGCAATACTGCTATTATTCACAAGTAATTCAACAAGTTCTAATATGTAGCCAGTTATAATATGCAGCTCATTTTTAGTTCATCATGAACCAGATTCTCAGCAAATTTTCACCTTTGTCTTTCATTAGACTACAGGTAATGAATCACCTAGGTGTGTGCATATCTATCTATCTATCCATCTATCTATCTATCTAAAATAATTCCTATTTTCAAGCCATACACATCATTTTATCATAACTTGTATCTGAAGAAGCACATAGAGTAACACTAAAAAAAATTTGAAAAACATTTGACCTGCAAAATGAGCTTATGAGCTTTCATATTACAGAAAAAATGTTACATTTTGAAACAGTTGTTCTTCCGCTTTATCTATGAATAATTTTCTAATATGAATGACCCTGTATGTACACAAGAAACAAAATTATCCTAATTAGAGCCATTAAGATCATTTTGAAAAACAAATTAGTTGTATATATTATGCTGCAAAAAAAGAGATTATGATTCCCAGATAATCTGGATATATTTCACTTTTAAAACTGAAATCCTCCCTTATTGGATGGGTGGAAGGGTGTACATATTTAAAGGGGATGTGTGCTGAAAAGCGTTATTAGTTGTGGTGTAACAGAAACTTTCATGATCTGGAAACATGTTTGCTTTACTAAGAAGTAAACTTATAGATAGTATAACACCTAGGAATATTACTGGAACCCTAACAAGCTCCCTGTCATCCATCAGGTGTATGTGACATTAATCTGACAGAATAATATTCAACAGATTATGTTCAAATAAGGATACACAGAGTTTTGCAATTTTATTTTTCAGGACACGTACAACCATAGAGTTGCTGTTTCAAATAATATAGAAAATGCTAAACAAATAATTACATGTTTTTCTAGACTATGTAACAATTTTCCTACATGTAGAGTTTAGGGTATTCACAGACTTGTAAGCATTGCCAATTGACCTCATAGCTAATTTTTAAAATTGTTCTATATGAATCATTGAGGGTGAGACTTCATTTGAAGACACCCAGGCAACTTACTATTCATTTCCCTCGCTCCCCACCCCCTTATGTAAGATATGCAAAAGCAAGAATGTAACTTTGGAAGACCATATGCAAAGCCTGCTCTGTTTCATAAGAAGCTTGACAAAAATTCTGCAACACAGGCTCTATATTCTGTGGTACATCAGTCTCAGCAAAATAGAGATTCTACAGTACCTTCAAATAATTATACACTAGTTAAGAACTTTCCTTGTCTTAAATATAAAACTGAACAGTGCAATTAGTCTTGCATCCCCCACTATTTAATGTGATACTTCGCTGATTTTTTTATTTTACATTTCTGCTAAATCTTTAATTTTCAACATGCTGCATAACTTTATATTGAAAATACACAAAACTATGTTTTTGAGGGAAATGTACTGAGTTGGATATTTGGAACTTATGACTTTCAAAGAGATGGAGGCATTTGTTATCTGAGATATGTTAGCAGGACTTTAAAACTACCAGCACAATTCTATTCAGATTCCAAGTAGATAAAAAGCATTATTATCCAACCTAGCTCTTTCTGTGTCTGCTTACTCATGTAGATAACACCTTTATTCCTTTGCACTTGTCTAGAATGCTTTCTTCACAGACTTATGAACTAAAATGATTCCTGTCTCTGTAGAAAGAGGGTTCTTGTTATCAATGCTCTTAGAAATTGCTCCACTTTTTGCACGTGCTGAGGCAGAAGTTCAGAAGAACTAAAACATCCAACTGATCTTCCCAGAGCTGATAATCCTTTAGAGCAGATCCCTTATCAGATGTACTTTATGTCTCATATAAAATATTCTACCAGCAATTCGACAGAACTAATAATCTGCTACATCCTGCAGGACCACATATTGGGACTATAAAATTGATCTGTTCTCAAATAGTTGACCAAAGAGGAGAAACTGAAAACTGATCATAGAGGCTGAATTCTGGCTTTTATGATTCTGATACAGATTCCTGATTGGGACTTTTAGTCGCTTCATAATGCAAATATTTCCAGATTTTAGATACACCATCATGTATCTATCAGTATCTACAGGCATTTGATATTTCATAATAAACACTCTTTCAGGCTATGGTTCACAGGCCTAATCAGTGACTCACTATCATTTTTGAGAAAAACAATCACTTACAAGTAGTAATGAGGTCCATGATGACAGGTTTTCTTAAATGTTTAAGTCATTGTTCATATTAGTTCAGTTAAAATTTAATACAGGTTTTCAGGATTGCTTTGTTAATGTGTGACAAAGTTCCATTTTCAAAATGATGAACATATTAAAAATTGGGTAATCGCTGGAGTTCAGAGTACGTTTGCTCCCAAAATTGAATATTGTGCCTGCTTCTTGAAAATCAGCATTTTTTTTATCCCAAGAAGGTATGAAAAAAATAAAGCCATTCCATTTTGATTAGATTTCAAAAAGCATACAGTATACTGGATACAATATACTTGTATAAAAAAATGTCTCTTAGCAGTGTGGTCAGTAGTATATCAAAGTTGTGTTTCTTCCCTGGTGTCTTGTCCCACTGTATTGCAGAAACTATTTTTTCGGCTAGGTGCAGTATTTGGAACATAGGCCAGTGGATCAGGTCGGATCAAGTAACTAAAAAAAGAAATCATATCTTTTATGAGAAAGGCTGGACATAAAAAAAGATAAAATACAGAAGGCACCTTAGAGATAAAATGGCTCAAAGAGGAATCAGTTTTGTAGACTGCACTCCCTTTTGCCTGATTTAAGAATAAGAAGGCTAACTCCCTCTTTCTGGGCACATCTACACAAGATATTTACTGCAGAGTAGAGTAATTAGCTCTGCAGTAAACTTCTCATGTCAACCCTATTAGACTGCAGGAAGCTAATTAACTTCGCAGCAGGGTAGTACTTGTAAATGCATGTAAATATAAGTACTACCCTGACTCTGCAGCTCCGCATGCATGGAGTATTTTACTCCACAACACTGCATAGGCAGATGCTGAGTCAGCTGGCTGGGGCACAAGGGTGCTGCCTGCTTGCTAGCCCCACACTGGAGCACCCTCATTGTTCAGCCAGCCCCTCCACAGCACATTGAACCAGGCAGAGCAGCCTTGGGCTGGCAGGCTGACCCCCTGGGACTCCTGCCACCCTAGGATTGTTCTGATCTGGTTCAATGTATTATGATCCCGTGTGTACAGATAAACACAATGCCTTGGAGCAACAAACTCTGGTGCATATTGCTTCATACTAATAGCACATACAGACACACCCTCTACGGATAAACAATGTATTCTTTTTTATATTTTCCGATCAGATTATTGCACAGATCAAAATGTATCCCACAGGGAAGCTTTAGAGCCTTGTTAAACTGAAAAAAGAAATCACTACTTTTCTTTCCTAGCATAAAAGTGTTTTTGCTTTTTTGTTCCTTCCATTATTAGAATTTTAGTCTATAGTCATTGCTTTACATCCAAATAACTCTGCCAATGACTACAGAGATCTAACAGAATACTGTAAACATTTGAATGTCATATGATTTAATAAATGGTAAAACTTCAGAATACATTATTATTATTAAATTTAAAATTTTGAAAATGCATTTTTAAGGAGAAAAAATATCCCTAGCTTACTAACAAAGGACTAACAAATCTTTTGAAGGCTTAGAGTTTTTTAGGCCACTTTATGCCCAGGAAGCTATGTAATAACAGTGAGCACTTACAATGATTTTTGTAAGAAATTGTTGGATAAATTACGAGTGATTTGTTAATATTTCATAAACTCCTAAAAGCATAAATATGTTAAAGGAAAATGTTCTGCATCACTGTTCAGTATCAGTTTAGTATTTTTCTCTCTTTCATTGAAAGATCTTTTTTAAAGATTTGGATATTTTTTCCCCTAGTAATTTAA